GAAACCATCAAACCTGAATGAACTAGAGATGTTTTGTAAAGAAGAATGGTCTAAAACAGTGGTTCCCAAACTTTTCAGCTTTTGACCCACAAAATACACACAAAATGAAAGTGACAAACCAGAAACCATAACATGTTGTAACGAGATGGTTATCTTAATATAACAAGATAGTTTTCTCATTTTTACAAGATGGTTTTCTCATTTTACGAGATATTTTAGTCTTTATAACGACATATTTTCTCCTTTTTACAAGATAGTTTTGCTGTTTTTACAATATGTTTTTCTACTTTTTTCAATAGTTTTCTCATTTTCACAATATAGTTTTCTTGTTTTTACGAGAGTTTTCTCGTTACAACGAGATCCAGTTTAAAAATAATTTCCTGTCATGTGGCAGCTCTACTCTTCCACACTAATCTTCTTCTGTAGGCCTACAAATCAGACTTTTTTTACTTAAACATTTAAAGTTCAAAAAACATTTACTGTAGGTAGACTAATTGGTTTCAGATGTTACAAATGAGATTTAAAAAACAACTACAGTTTGAACAAAGCTTTCTTATTGTTTGAACACTTCCTGTGCACCTTCAGGTCAGATGAAGAGCTTTCTGGCTCGGTGCTGCTCGGTTCTTCAGGTCTGAAGGTGTTCCTGTTGCTGGGAGGACTCCAGACCTGCCTGTCTCTCTGCAGCCTCACCCTCACTGTTAATTCTCTCCTGGCCAATCAGAAAATTGCTCCTCGCGTTGCTAGGCAGATGTGCGCGCCGGCAGCCAATAGGAGTCCCTGTTGGGGGAGCGGGCGCTGAGTTGAGACACACCGACTGACAGCGTCTGAGTCCCGGACTCCCAGGCAGGATTTACACGGAGGGTCCGTGGGAACAGCCTGCGAACAGAACAAGATGCCGAACAAAAGCAAGAAGGAGAAGGTGAGTTGGCGGGTGTAGGGCCACTTTAAAGGCTGTTTAAACACCGGATGTAACGGAGGCCGTGAATCGGCTCCTGGAGCCCGGGACGGTGGAGGTTTTCTGGAGTGGAGGGGAGCTAAGGCCCGCTAGCAGCGGACCTGACCGCTTCTCTTCTGGGCTTTCCTCCATCAGTGTGTGCAGCATGATGCAGTGTGATTAACTCACGATAAATGGACGGTTTATTCAGATGTTAGTGGGTCAAACTGTGGGCTGGATGCGGGACATAACGGAGCTGCTGCTGGAGCTCCAGAGCCGGAGGAACCTGAATTGTTCATCCGCCTGGACGCAGCGCTGCTCGGCTGGAAACTGTCCCCGAGCTGCGGGGCGGTGTGCCGCAGGTTTCCCGCTGGTTCCGGCCGGTTCTGTGAAAGGAGGGGGACCGGTGAAGACCCAGACACCCGCAGGTGTACGGTCTGACACCTGAAGGGTCGGAATGAGTCATCATTTATCGATGAACAACTAATAATCAATGATCGACTGGTCCAGTTAGACCAGGTCCTCTGCCTGGTCTAACTGAGACCAGGTCCTCTGGTCTAACTGAGACCAGGTCCTCTGCCTGGTTGAGGACCTGGTCTAACTGGACCAGTCTCAGTTAGACCAGGTCCTCAGCCTGGTTGGTCGGGATGAGGACCAACCAGGCTGAGGACCTGGTCTAACTGAGACTGGTCCAGTTAGACCAGGTCCTCAACCAGGCAGAGGACCTGGTCTAACCTGGTCTCAGTTAGACCAGGTCCTCTGCCTGGTTGGTCCATCCCGACCAACCAGGTTGGTCGGGATGAGGATCAGTTTTATGGGTAATTCTGATGATCCAGATCCAGATCTAACTTCCTGAACTGAGGGTCTGAACCGGTCCTTCAGCCTGTTTGTCTCAGGAACAACATTAGATCTAACGCAGTGTTTCCCCTACCATTATACAGGTGAGCCCCCCGCCCCAATGAGACGGCCCGCCCTCTAAGAATTTCACAGCATGTAGTCATTTTTATTTAAATAAGGCCAGATCAAGTCCAGAGCTACTTTTTGTGTCCCTCCATATCCACCTGTTACCAAACTTGGGGAAAAAGACGGTGCAGAGCGAGGCTGAGCTGTGTGTGGTCCTCACAAAGATAGGAAGACGTGTGTGTGATTAGATGTGCAGCTCTGCTTTTAATCACGTTGCACCGATGTGACAGCTTTGTGAGCTACTTTTTCTTTCTTTAAAGGAAAATGTGAGGTGAAGCCACAGCATGGTTACCTTATCAATGATTACTGCCTTTTTTTCTTTCTCTGTGGGTCGGGGGTCAGCTTCACTCAGCTGCAGCTGA